AGTATCTATAATAAATTTCATTTTGATCAACGGTTTATGATATAAGTACAAAAATTTGAAAAATTTCGAAAAATTGTAAAAGTTCAAACTTTAAGTTCAAATAGGCACGGGTTAACTTTGTTCGATAGATTCAATATTTCATGTAGTTAATTTTTGTATGTATGTACACTGTTTAAGGCGTTGAGATGAAAACATTTTTGAATTTTTTTTTTCATCTATAGTGAAAGACCACCCTAAGGTACATATTTGGTTTGTCTAAACACACATTTAAATCATTAACTTGGAAAAATAACTTAGATATATAAAAAAAATATAGTCAATAAAATTATAATTAAATATTTAACCCACATAGTATTTTATGTTTAATTAATGGAAATAATTAACTTAGCTATGCTTTATGAAATTGGCTTAAGTTGATACTCATGCAATTTTTATAAATAAAATATCTACCAATATAAATGTTTTTAATAATAATAAAAGCAGTATTAACCTTATACATACTCATTGTTATTTGATGTAATGATTTCTGGTCTAGTAGGTGGAGAGGTTAAATCAATTACATCCGTTATTGATGTAGTTTAGTTCATCAAACTGCTGTCTTTAGGCAAAAATCTTGGACCATAAAAATTCAATGAAAACACAATGTGGTATACTGAAATATTAATGAATATATTAGGCTACAGCCTACAATGTAATATTAAATATAGTATACAAATATAATCTTGAATTGAAAACAAACTCTAGTTAATACTTCAATTTAATTTTAAATAATCTTAAATTAAACATAAAATTATGTACAATTTACTATACAACGACCCGAAATAATAAAAATTAGACCAAAGCCATTTACAACAATTTAATCTCATTTCTGATGTAATGAGAAGGACAGTAAAACAGATACCATGAATTTTTACCCACTGCTTTCTATTATCAAGGTAGAAACAAAATCAGGAAAGAAGAGGTTCACCAAAACCAGTTACTTTTAGAACGCTCATGAGGGACAAGTGACCAACACGATCAAAAGCTTTCGTAAAATCAGTGTAAATGACTTGGGAGTGGGCGTTAAAAGCTTTGAATATGTGATTGTAAAAGACCGCATTACGTGTAGTCGTAGATCGACCTGGTCGGAACCCATGCTGCTCATCCATGATTATAGGATTGACAATAGGCTGGATTTTATCGAGTATGATCGATTCAATTAATCTTGAGACGAGGGAAAGAATAGATATGGGTCTATAATTAATAACTTGGGAAACATCACCAGACTTGTAGACAGGTTTAATAGAACAAAGTTTCCAAAGATCAGGAGAGATTCCTTCATCTAAAGAACGGCGGAAAAGCAGGCATAAGGGGTAAGAGATTGTATTCCGAATGTTGAATAAAAAAGTATCAGACAAACCGTCAGGTCCAACAGGCTTGTTATTCCTTAATGAGGAAAGTCCATCATGTATGTCTTGAACTAAAAAAAAACAATTACTGGGAAGTCAAATTGCGGAATATTGAGACTAGATAAGTCAACATTATTCCCTTTGAGGTGTAAACCAAGTTAAAGAAAGAAACATATAAATCAGCAGTCTTATGCTCATTTAAACATGTCATGTTATTGTAATATACTGTTTTAGGAATATTCTTAGCAGAACAGTGTTTCCTAACAAAATCCCAAAACTTTCACGGATCTTTTAGCAGTGATTTATCAAAATCAGACCCAAAACGCAATTTTTGGTTTCATATTTACAACGTGCCCACAGTAGGGAAAATTCCCTATAGTGATTTAGGCTCTTAGTGGACTTTTTTTTATCAAAGACCAGTTTTTTAACTTCTTTAGAAACCTAGGACTGAAAATCGAAGTTTAGGAACGAAGGTTAAAACAGTATAATGGAATGCATCAAAAAACGCATTAACGGCTGTTTTAAGATTCAAACCGGAAAAGGTAGAATCCCAGTTGTAAGATGATAGGTAATCATTAATTTCAGTGTACCGAAATTTATGAAATTGATAAGACTCATGAGAGTTAACAAAAGACAGCGTAGGTGCAACAATGGAGAAATGTATACTAATAGCTGGATGATAGAAATCTGGAGGAACAAAGGCTCCAAAGCGGGTTCTACTGTTTACCAAGGTTAGAGAAGATTAAATCTAGCACCGAATCACTGCTATTTGAGACATAATTATGTTGAAGAAAATTGTGAAACATAAAACCTTCAGGAGTACATGAAATCTGAGTCCGGGAATTAAAACTATATTGCATACCATGTTCATTTATAGACCACTTGATATCGGGCAAATTGTAGTCCCCGCAAAAAATAAAAGAATGGTTAAGATTATGGGAGATAAGGGAATCAATTACAGATATATGAGATTCACAATATAGTTTTTATTTACGAGATTAAATAAAAATATAAATAATTTGATTTGCAGTATAAAAAATGAACAGCAATAACAATGAATTTGAAACTACAACAATCATAAATAACAACAGTAGTATAAAAAATATGTTGGTAATGAAGTAATTTGCTTTATTGGCATGCAAAACGTACATAAAATAAACAACACTGCCCTGCTGGCATAATACAATATATGTATATAAATGAATTAATGGCCCTTTTGGATAAATTATAATAATGCATTATCAATAATTATAATAAAATAAACAATGTGTGAAATGAAATATAATGTATAGTAAATACTCGTCAGCACATTACCTGTAGGGACTGCTATTTTTATCGGTATTCATCATTATTAATGACTGCAACGACGATGTCGATAACGCAGCAGTGCTAATTTCGATAATTTATTATTTAAATATTATATTACTATAATAATTGTCTGACAATATAGTATTAGCTATTTTTTTTTTATATTAGTTTATTTTAATAATGTTTACTATTATATAGACTACAGAGGGTGGATCTTGCGTTAAATAACAATAAGTGTATATTTATGGTCGGAGATTATGGTGCACTCGATTTTCATATCGTAGGTTCCTAAACATACATCTAGTATATACCATCGTTAATCACGTGATAGCAATAATAAGTAAAATATTTTAAAAATAATTATTAATAATTTAGGGTCAAAATTAAACATTTATTTTTATATCAGCGATTCTTAATTAACATTTTATAATTGACATGGCCGTCTCATAATATATAATATTATGTAAAATATAAGAAACAACGCTTAAGTGGATATCGTTCTGTTGTACACTAGGTGTTTACTGTTTAGGTGTCCATAGTACGGCCAGTGAAACTAGGGGGGTGATTTTAGCGCCCCCAGTGGCACTTTTCAGTATTGCAATCTACACTATTACAGCCCTACCGAAAAAACACCACTGGGGGCGCTATAATCCCCCGCCTAGTTTCGCTGGCCTTACTATAGAAAATCGGTGTAGAGGTGAATGGGGGAATGGCAGTCGCCTAAGCAAGAATTTCGATTTCTGCCAAACGGTTAGTCAAAAACACTACCAAATACAAAAAAAAATAAGTATTGCCTTGTAAGGTACATCATACTTACGTTTCAGATTTTTAAAACTAATGCAAATATATTTTTTTATTTTTTTTAAAAAAATGTGGAAATGACCACTATTACCCGTAGGTAGAGGTAATGACTAATGATAGTCACTCAAAAACCCATGCAAATTAATAGGGAAAATCGTTTTTTTTTTATTCTAAACATAATTTCATAAAAAACACATGAAAACACATTTATTAATATGAGATGTTATTATTTTATTAATAACAGCCTCTACATAATAATATGGCAACATAACTTTGAAAACCAAGTAACAGAAACTTTTAACATTTAAATATAGTTAAATATTCTACAACATTTTTCAAAACAATTTAATATTAATTATTAGTCTTATAAATTACGGGTAACATAACTGTGTTAATCTTGGATAACTTTTAACATTTTAACAATATATATTTAACAACATTTTTTAAAATTATTTATTATTAATTCTTAGTCTTCTAATAATGGGTAACATAACTTTAAATACTATGTAACAGGGATTTTTAACAGTTTAATATAGTAAAAAATACAAATGTAACATTTTTTAAAATTATTTAATATTAATTCTTAGTCTTATGAATAATGGGTAACATAACTGTGTTAACCTTGTATAACTTTGTGACAGGAACTTTTAATATTTAAATATAGGTAGTTAACAATACAATCTTTAAAAATTATTTAACTAGACATTCTTAGTCTTCTAGCATAAATATCACATATATAATTATTGGTGAATTTGCATCACTGCATTCTGCATGTACCCAAAATCCACAATTTGTGCACCTATACCAAACTTCATCTTTGCCTCTTTCTTCACAGATTAAACAAATTTCAGTACCATCATCTACATCATCATCCGTCATCACATATTTGTAATAAGATATCTGTGTCAGTGTCAGAAGTGGAATGGTTAGAATTATGAGCTGCATTTAATTCATCAAGTAGTTTTCTTTTTAGTAATCTTTTTTGTCTTTACATCTAAAATAAAAATTATACATTAATAATAATACAATTATTAAAAGTTAGGAACTTACTCTTGCCAGCTGGTTTTTTCAATATTTGCTTCTTTTTTACCCTCCCAGATTCTTCTTTTGATTTCTTCAACTGTCTTTTTCTTTCTCTATCAATTAATTTGTCCTTCATGGGAGATGCAGTAATGATAGTGGAATGTTGTTTAGCTGATTTTCGGCGTACAACTTTTGTAGGAAGTGTTTTTGGAACAGGAGTTATTTCCTTGATTGAAACACTTGATCTGCTGGAAGATGGAGTACCTTGACTGCTTGAATAAAAACTGATGGTGACAGGTTTGAAGCTGATGGATATTGATGGTATGTTGATGCTATTGATTGCTGTAGCTCTTGATTTGAATCTGTTGAGTATTGATTAACAGTTATAACATCATTATTCTGGTCAATTTCATTTTGACAAAATGTGTTAGCTGCTTAGAAATCTTCATTGCTAAATATATTGGGATTAAGTGGATATATTCAAGTGGCTGAAAAACCTAAGACACCTTTTTGGATACAAGCTACATTTGAGTAGGCTTTATTAAAAATTTCTGATAAATCATATGGATTGATTTTGACCATAGCCTTACTTTTCATAAAACAATCACATTCTCTTCCATAAGCTGCCTTCAGTGGCCCAAAGAATGTAACATCTAATGGCTGTATTCTATGAGAGCTATGAGGTGGTAAAGACAACATTACTATGTAATTATCTCTACAATACTGAAAAGCAGCAAGTGTAATATGACTTCCATGATTATCAAAAATTAATAAAACTGGTTTTTCAGCTGTAGGTTTACAGTAATTTGAAAAATGTTTGAGCCATGACAAAAATATTTCATCATTAGTCCACCCATTTTTTGAGCATTCGTACAGAGCACCTGGAGGACCATTCCTTGTTAGTTTGTTGTCCATCCTTTTCCTAGGGAAAATAAAGACTGGAGGTATATAGGATCCAGATGCGCTAATGGTACAAATAACAGTAACATTTTTGCCTCGTTCCCAACTTGTTATAGATCCAACTCGTTTGTGTCCTTTTGGAGCAAGTATATTTCCAGGTTCTTGGACTATTGAGATGCCAGTTTCATCCATATTAAAAATTGTTGTGGCAGTAAACTTGTGTTTTTCCATTAGACTTTCTAGATTATTAAAAAATTAGGTCACTTCCTCTTCATTAGCTGCAGTGTTTCTACTTATACTTGTAGCTTCTGATTTCCTGACAGTAACTGATGGATTCCTCCTTATGAAATTATAAAACCAATCAATTCCAGCTAATTTTAATTCTTTATTGAAATTATGTTATATGTTATTTATTTCTACATAGTCAAATGCAGCTTGTCTCAGTTGCAAGGGTGTTAAGCCATAAAATAGTTCTGCTAAATTTTTAATATGTTCCGCCATATCATATTCTTGTTGTGGTGTAAAAATAGGGGTACATCCTAAACTTGGTGGTCCAGAATTATTAGATTTTATCCTTTTTTGTAATGTACTAAATGGAGTCTGCTGCTTTACGCATGCTAAGTTTTTTTTTAAAACTAAATCCACTGCAGCTATCAGCAACTCTTCAGACCAACCTCCAATAGTGGTTTTTCTTTTATATGATCTTGGCATCTGAAATATAAATGAGTTAAATTAAAATCATATTTTTTTAAATTATTTATAAATATTAAAATAAAATTTAAGATTGAAAAGTTAGTTTGTTAATCTTGCATGTATGCCAGGGGTGATGGTAGTCATTTTGTAAATGACTATCATCACCACATGAGCACTGACTGCGAATACCCCGTTCTAAAATTTAAAAAAAAATTAATTTTTTTTCTAATGGTAATTTGATTAATTAAAATACAGATTCATAATCCTCACAAATTACTTGTTATGTAAGTTACAACTAAATGAAAATATAATAAAATAAACTTACCTTGAAAAGCGTTTTCAGAACACGATTTTTAACAGAAAATTCGTGAAAAAACTTTGATAACAATATTTTTGCGGTAAAACTTAACTGATAACTACCATATTTTATTTTTAAGGCTATGATAACAAAATTAATAATTCCACATAGTCAGTTGATTTTTAGTCATCATAGTTTCATGACAATCAAGGTGACCACGATTACTACGCGATCACCATCAAATTGTTCTCAATTCACCAATGACGTCCGAGGAACTCGACTTCACGCTTACCAATTGTAATAGCAAGGCTCAAGACCCTATTCGTTCATTAAAAATCAGGTAAAACCACTTGCTATCGATATACGCCGCAATAAAGATTAACAACACCTTCCCCAATACGCGGAGACGCGGGTATATTATCCCCATCCTTAAGCCAAACAAAAATAATTTCCAACCTGAAAATTACCAACCTATTTGTCTCCTTAATACATACACCAGGTAAAGTTCTTGAAAAAATAATAAACCACCGGCTTATGTGGTTCCTCGAAAGATCTGACCATACTCCCATACAAAACAGATTTAGACAGAAATACAATATATAACCTTATAACGATAAAAAATGAAATTAGCACATCATTACTTAATGAACAAAAAATGGGTATGATCAGTTTTGACTTTGCTAAAGCTTATGAATAGGGAACAGACTTTAATGTCTTAAAAAATAAGAAAAATGTCCTTAAAAAGTACAACCTTATGCCTTAAAAAAATGATTTAATATCAAAAAAATGCACTAAAAAACATTAAAAATGTTATTAAATTCGATAAAAGCAAAATTTTAAACAGTTTTATGTATGTATAATATTATTAAAACTTAAAACTTATAAAAAAAATAAATAATATTTAAATATATAAAGTAAAAAAAAACCTAACCTAACCTAACCTTGTCTTCTCGCTTATCTTCTTTTTGAATTTTTGAAAACTGAGTATTTTATGTTTTTTTCACACATTTTTTAAGATTAAGTATTTATTATTTTTAGTAAGATTATTACGCTTTTTATTTTAAATTTTAAATACATTTAACTGAATCAATTACGTTTAGTTAGAATTTCAAAATAGATACCTAACATTAGAAAAAAGACACTGACTACCCATAATAAATACGGTTCCACGTCATTTGGTCGAGATCAATTTAATCGCAAAAGCAAAAAGATCGCATATAATAAGAGCGAAAAGTTAATTAAAAATATAATTTTAATAATATCCAGTCAAAAAATCAAAGTTAATATAAAAATACAATTTTAATAATATCAAGTAAAAAAATCTGAGTTAATATAAAAATACAGTTTTAATAATATCTAGCAAAAAAATCAGAGTTAATAATATTATATAAATACAATTTTTTTAAAAAATCAAGTTATTATATTTGTAGTTGAAAATTTGCAGCAACGCCCCTTAAATATCCATCAATAAGTTTCATTTCGAATTGCAGTACTTACCACATTTTTAATCCGTAGAGCTGAATCTTTCTTTGAAAATTTTCTTTTTTTAGGTACTGAATATCCTGCAATTGCTTGTTCAACTTTGAATTGATTTAAATTATCTTCGTTTTTCAATGCGTTAATAAATGTCCATATGGACGGATGAACTGCATTCAACATAGAATTGAGACCATTATGCCAACCCTCTATTGCATTGTTTGAGCGCGGAATGTCTTTTTAGATCAATTCATAACAATTCCAAATACTAATATGAAATAATGCAGGTCTTCTTTGACCTCTCCTGTTTGGTCTACCGATGTACGTATCTTCAAAATAATCTAAGAGTTCAGTTAACGAGTTTTGATTTTGTTCGTAAAACTCTGTACTAATTAATGATTCAAAACAATCAATAACTTTATTTTCCGGGACATAAACTAATGTCAATAATTTACGTAAACATAATGAAAATTCTGGATCTTCTGAATATTTTTTTTTGGAGTCCTAAATTTTGGATATGACGCCAAAAAGATTGACCCAAGTGAAAAAAACAACCCTTAACTTGTATGTCAGGGTAAACATGTACTGCTGCATTCATGGCAGCCTTTTCAAAATCTAACATGAAAAGTTTTAGATTAAGATTCGATTTAATCGAATTTAATGCCACGAACATTCGGCGATATGTATCTTCGGATTTAACGGGCAAAAGAACGTAAAATAATGGAGTAACATTTGCATCTATGATACTATGAATCGTGTAAAGTTGAGTAAACAATTTTGGAGTGCATGAAAAAGTGCCATCGGCAAACCAATAATAACTATTATGTAATAATTCTAAATTTTTTTAACGTTGATAACAATAAAATCCGTTTATTATCAACATTTTCTTCAAAACTATCGTATAATAAAAATGGTTCACCACTTACAGATTTTGTATACACATCTGGAATACTAAGATCAGTTAATGTCGCTGGATTGGGTGGTGCTGAATTGATTTGTTTTCTTGTACGTTGTACTATTCGTTTTAATTGGTTGATTGATGGTAGTTGACTAGCAACATAGGCGGAGATCAGGGGGGGGGCTTACGGGGGCTTAGTCCCCCCAAAATAAATGATTTGAAGTTAAAGACTACCTAAGAATATTAAACAAACAATACCGTAATTTTGTACAGTTTGCAGAACTTTTTTCATTATTTTATATTCTTATATCCACAATTATATAAGTGTACCTAGTACATTACATTCACACTATTTACCAATTTATTATTTACGGTAACATACCGAACAATTAAGTCACAATTCACAATAATATTATATTGTGTTTATATACCTAATATTGTGCATATTTTTTACCAATTGGCCATCTATATTGAATAACATATTATACCATTCTATTTTAGATGGGAAAAATATTATTTCTTTTCCTAATTTTTGTTAATTCTCGAGAAGCGATAGCTATTATAGGACTATCGCTATAGCTGTATTAAACCTATCGTAAAGTTTATCGCGATTGAATGAATCGTTAACCGTATTGACCATTTTATACTAAATTATATTTTACTTATTGTTTGATGTTCTTGGGAATACATTTCTTTAGAGATTGTGATTTAGATTTTTAATAAATAATTTAGTTCAAATATGTTTGAAATATTTAAATTTAAATCGTTTATTAATTATTCTTTTTTTTATGTTTGTAACTATTTAAGTTATTATGATAACGAGTCAATGAGAACAATTTTTTATGAGTGATTTAATGTAAAAATTAGTTTGTTGGGGGGTGTGGGGGCAATGCTCCCACGGGTCTGTTCGTCATCAAATATTTGAGCCCCCCTTAATATTTCACAAGATCTCCGCCTATGACTAGCAATATTAATATCAGTCTAAACAGTTTTTAAAAATAATACCGGCATTATTATCAATATTTTTCTTACATTATTTAAGCTTTTTAAATTTTAAAATTTAATAGGTACTTTTTTTGCATACATACTTTAGCTGTTACCACTCCAAGAACAGCATGTGTAGATAGTTGTGACGTTTTAGCGACTTCTTTTACTTCATTGGCAAATTCTTTACATTTAATTTTTGTGATATCTGGTACATGGGTATGATCAATGTATTTAATCACACTTTCACCTTTGGTGTGAACACGACCACGACAACTTAATTTCTTGTAGTCATTACATTTCCAAATACTTTTTTCGTTAGTGGTCTTTTCTTTGCGATGGATAAAACTATCGTGTACTAATAATTTTTCACCTTTTTGGCTTAACACATACCTCAACACCATGGCGTATAATATCAATCAAATTAAATTAAATTAATATATTTATCACACACGTGAAAATCCCAAACGTCACAAGCAAACTGATTAACCAACACTATGCAACGCAGTAGGTACTGAATATTGTTATCGCGCTCAAATGGCTTACGATATTTATGTTCGGCGATTAAATTGTTCGCGACCAAATGACCTCGCTCTTATGACTCGCGCTCAATTTACCGCGACTAAATGACGCCACACGAATGAATACAATTATACTATGAAAAAAAATAGATACAGCATTAACATTAAGCGTACACGGTACACTACATATATATTTAAATTTAAAATGTTTCCAAACTTAAATACGGTTAAATCTAAAATTAACACAACAAGCATTTAGACACAGAATCATTTTTTCAGAAATTATTTTTTTTTGAATCGCTCTTAATACAAATTTAAGAGCATAACATTTTTGAAGTATCGGTGCGCCTAAATATTGTTTCAAAAACATTTAAATATCATTTGAATATACAACTCTTTCTATAATATTTTGTTAGTCGAGTACACGGTCTAAATCCAACCGATATGCCGAACCCAAAAAATTATTGATCTATATTCTCTAAAATTTTTGTAATGGGTGATGTGTTTTGCATATGGGTCTGAGAGAAAACAAACATTGTGCCGTCAAATGGGGTAACATTAGCCCTTAATGACAACATTGGCCCATAAGTAGGAAAAAGTTTAATTATGAGATAACAGCTGAACTATTTAACGTAATTTCTTCAAAACTGTATCAAACTGCAGGTAGGAGTAGTGGTCTCAATATGTAACGAATTGTATGTAAACGATCGTTCACAACTTCATTTAGTAAAATTGATCAAAACTGTTATCAAATAACGAATAAATTACAACATTACTACTTTTGTGTCAACCAAGTATCATCCGTCGTTAAAAATCTTCGGTAATTTTTTTTTATGTACAAAAATTAGTATAGAAATAAGATATGGTGGTTTGAATATAATTACTTTATTAACATTTTGTACAATCATTCATTATCATTTTGGTCCAACATTGTCCCATTATTTTGTGTAACTTTGGCCCAGAACTAAGTTGGGCCAAAGTTACCTGACGCCAATATTCTTTAAATTTTTTTGACGTTAAGACTGTCAACTTTGATTACTGTGGCTTTTAATTTTATATAGGTACGTTTTATTTGTTTATTTTTGTTTTTTTCAATACTTTAAACCTGAATCATTTTTTATTATTTAGAAAAAATGCCGCGAACTCAAAGAAAACGTCTTGGATCAAGACAGGACCGTATTACCGCTTAGGCTGTATAGGCTAAAGCCTAGGGCGGCAAATTTTGAAGGGTGGCAAATTTTTTTTTGATGCGACCCAAAAACTACGTTGAGATATTAATTTTAAGTATAAATTATAAAAACATGCAATAATATAATATATGAAATAATATTATTAATTATAAAGTATAAGAAAATATATTTTTAGGTTCTAAAATATTATGCAGGGTGTAACAGAAATATATGACAAATAACAATATATATATATATTACAATAGTCGACTGGGCGGAAATTCGTTGCGATAATGGCACGGCGAATAGGCCGCGGAATTGAACGTATTAACGTAATATTATGTTATTATATTAATAGTAAATCGTGAAGGAAAGAAGCATTAAAACCCGTATCCCATAATAATAATTATTATCATAGTAGTAATGTAGAATGTGGGGAAATTTCTGCGATAAGCGATGACGTCTCAAATATTATATCTAAATTATAAGATACTCGTACTAGGTTTATTATTTTGTTATACACCACGCCGTAACGAAATTGACTGGTCGTTCATTTGCATTTGTTATAAAGCCGCGATTTCTTAAGCCTTAAGCCGGTTACACACCTAGCGTTTTCGACGCAGCGTTCGAACGCCTAAAATTAAACATCCGTCTACATATGGCCATATTCACACCAAGGGAAAAACCGCGCGTCCGAACGCATACGAACGCATCGAAACGCGCTGGTTTAATTTTGAGCGTTTTGTACGCGGAAATATCTAAAATTAAACATAGTATTTTCCATGTTATCATTCACACTGCGCGTTTTCGACTTCGCGTTTTGCAGCGTTTCTATGTATTTATTCCATTTGTCAATGAATCACCATCACGACATAACGCATACTGACCATATATTTTTCAGTTTAAATTACATTTATTTTAATTAGTAAAAAGACCTAGGTATATTAGGCAAAATGTTTGATACAGAACTCTTTATAATAGAAGTGAATAAGGAAGAAAGTATTTGGAACATAAGTAAGTTTGTATAACATAAACAATAATAAAAAATATACAAAATGATTCTTGTATGTTTTAATATTAATTATTTCATAGAATCAAAACTTTACCATGATCGTGTAGAGAAACATGTCAGCTGGAGAAGAGTAGGGAAAGCTATGTTCAATGATTTTGAAAATTTTGCAGAAAAAGAAAAAGAAGCAAAAGGTAAGACATTAAAATAATAACATTTTGTTTCCATTACGGCATTACAAATATCCAAACCTATATAGGTGTGAAAATAAAAAAATGATTATTGGAGTAAATCTAACACAGTTACAACATTTAATGATAATAAATAATAAAATATAAAACCATTTGCTTAAAAATGTATGACATATAAAATGGTCATATTATTCAACAACTTTGTTTTGCCAACTTAATGAAAATTCCGGTTTGTTTAGATATTTTACAAAATATTCTCTAACATTTTTTGCTTCTAATGGAGCATTTCCAACTCCTTTTTTTTCATTCACATCTCCTAACGTACAATTAAGTGTATCTTCGATGTGAATTCCATCTCTACGACGCACAAAATTATGGTATGTATTAAAGGTATGTACTTTATTGTATCAATTAATTATTTTATTTTAACAATAAATTAGTGTAACAAATTTAAAACCAAATGTCTTAATAGTTAATATACGTTAAAGTTTATGTAGGTTTTATCATTAATAAGCGTTTTACCATAAAATAGTACGAGTTATGCATTTTATCAATTCTTAAATATCAATACGAAATTGCGAATTTAATATTTAATACTATCATTATGAAACGTTCTAAGTTAAGTGGAGACAAATATAGGAAATTGGCCAAGGAAAAATTGGAAAAACAAAGATTGGTTTTAGAAAATGTCCCGAAAATTAATACATTATTTAGTAAGGAAGTAATTACGTCAGTAAGTGTAAGTCCAAAAATATCTTCTAGCGTCATAGATTCTGGGGATATTAAAACAGTACAGAATGAAAAAAATAATACTTATTTTAATGACAGAACAGAGATAGAGTTACAAAATAAAACTAAAACAAGTATTTTTAGTAAAGATCCTTCTCAATGGATACGAACAGCCGACTTTATTCACTTTGTGGCATCACACGGTGTTGATCAAAATATGAACTCAGACTTTTCAAACTCCAAACGGATATACTCTGACCAAAGTAGATATTTAACTAAATCTATGTTCTATAGGATATTATCAAACAATGAAAAAATTCTTAGAACGTGGTTAGTTTACTCAGAAATTAAAGGGACTGTATTTTGCGCACCGTGTTGGTTATTTCGTGACGACTCTGGTTTGGCTACTACAGGTTTTAATGACTGGAAAAACGCTTGTTCGAGGTTAAAACAACATGAAAATTCTATAAATCATAAAAACTGTTTGATTCAAATACAAGACATCAATCAAACTAAGGAAAGAGTAGATTCAAGATTAATGAATCAAATTGATGGGGAAAAAAACTATTGGAAAAATATTTTATTGCGAATTGTTGCCGTAGTTAAATCACTTGCCTTACGGGGACTCCCTTTTCGGGGTGACAACGAGTTAATTGGTTCTTCGAAAAATGGAAATTTTCTTATGTCAATAGAATTAATATCTGAATTCGATCCATTTTTGGCACAACATATTAATAAATACGGTAATGCCGGTCGAGGATCAACATCATATTTATCATCAACTGTTTTTGAAGAAGTAATTTCTATAATGGCGGAAAAAGTAAACAAATATTCTGTTGATGAAATTAAACGTAGAAAATACTTTTCCATTATAGTTGATTCAACTCCTGACATTACGCACATTGATCAGCTTTCCTTTATTGTGAGATATGTAAATGACCAAGGTCTACCAGTTGAACGATTTCTTGAATTTATACCAAAAGCGGGTCATAAGTCTGCAGAGTTATTTGATGTAGTCAATGATCTCATTAAACGTTACGGTTTGGATTGGTTCAACTGTAGGGGACAATCATATGACAACGCTAATAATATGTCCGGCAGTTATTCAGGTCTCCAAGCACGAGTTAAAGAAATAAATAATTTAATATATTTTGTTCCATGTGCGGCACATTCGCTAAATTTAGTTGGAACGCACGCTGTAGATAGTTCAAAAGAAGCAGTTAAATATTTTGGATTAATGCAACATTTGTTTATGTTCTTTACTATTTCAACTCATCGTTGGGAAATACTCAGTAATAATTTGAAACCGGGAACTCATACGTTGAAACATCCATCATTTACAAGATGGTCATCAAGAGATGCAGCTTGTTTGAGTATAAATGAAAATTGGTCTGAAATTATCAATGCCTTAACATATATAATGAATGCTACTACAGAAAATAATATGACTCGAAACGAATCACAAGGACTATTAAATAAACTCCAATCATTAGAGACTTGCTTTATGTCTATATTATGGGGTTTTCTATTGAACAGATTAAATGTAGTTAGTGAGAAGTTACAAAAAGTTGAAATAGATTGTGGTCTCGTAGTTGAGCTTTACGATTCTTTAATTCAACTTACTACAAATACTCTTGAAAATTTTGATGAATTTGAAAAAAAAGCAATTGAAAAATCTGTTACAAAAGAATATAAAGATTTAAAAACTCGTAAAAAAATTAAATCAATTTTTTATGATGAAACTCGACATAATGATTTAATTACTTCTGGAAGAGAAAAATTTAAAATTGATACCTTTTTTGTAATTTTAGATCATTTATTGAATAAACTTAACAAGAGAAGAGCTGCGTATCAAAATTTTTTTTTTCCATTTGCTTTTATTGTCATGCTCGAACGTCTATCACATGATGATATTGTTAAAGGAGCTACACAACTTAATGAAATATACTATGATGATATGGATTTAAATGAATTAATCAATGAATGTTTACATTTAAAAGCACACATAATACAACTGGCTGACGATAAGCAAAACAATGTTCCCAAACTTCTTCAAATTTTACATGAAAAAAACTTAATTTCAATATATCCCAACATCGAAATAGCACTCAGAATATATACATCTACTGCGGTGACTAACTGTTCAGCTGAACGTTCTTTTTCTTGCTTGAAAAGAATAAAAAATTATCTCCGATCAACGATGTCACAGGATCGATTAAATGCACTTGCTATACTAAGTATTGAACATGAATTAACTAATCAGTTATCATATGACGACATCATAGAAGACTTTGCGAAAAAAAAATCAAGACGTAAGACTATAATCTGAAGAATATGTAAAATAATTATTTGTTCGTATTTTTTTTTTTTTGTAATATGCTTAAAGAGTTTTCATTCATTAATAAATAATAATAGTATTGATTTTATGTTTTTATTTTATTAATGATCATTTTTTATATGGGGTGTGGAGAGTTTTTACGTATCACTTATAGAAGTAAAATATCAATACCTATGAAAATTAGGCGGTAAATTTATTTCAGCCTATGGGCGGCAAAAACCTTAATCCGGCCCTGGATCAAGACAGTACGCAAATTATTCTGCGGAAACCTTGAATGAATGTTTACAAAATGTAATTTCGCGTAAAATGACTCAGCGTGAAGCTGCAGCACATTTTGGTATACCTAGATCTACAATAAAAAATAAACTAAAAGGAAATCACTCGAAACCTGTTGGTCGCTCTCGTGTATTTACTGAAGCCGAAGAAAAAGCTTTCGAGCAACATTTAATCAAATTAGCTGATTATGGCTTTCCAGTCGTTGAAGCTGACTTTCGAATAACTGTTAAAAATTACCTTGATAAAAAAGGTGTCAAAATAAATATATTTAAAAATAATCTCCCGGGATATGAATGGGTTAAATCATTTTTAAATCTGCATAATAATCTCTCTGTGCGCATGAGTTCAAACATTAAAAGAGTTAGAGCTGAAGTTGGTTTAGATGAAATAAATTCATATATGGACAATTTAAGTGATGTATTAAAAGATATACCACCATCTAGAATTTGGAACTACGATGAAACTAATCTTAGTGATGATCCGGGAAATAAAAAAGTAATATGTAATAGAGGAATGAAATATGTTGAAAAAATGTGTAATTATAGCAAGAGCTCAACTTCAGTTGTTTTGTGGCAATGCGGAGGGTAAATGCGGAGGTTACCTAAACTCTAAATAATTTTATAATGTTGTATATTCTTAAGTAATTCATAACTTTGAGACTGAAGTTTGTTTTTTATTTTTTTTATTAGGTTTAAAACATAAATTGTTAATTTTGTTTATAAAAAAAAGGTTTTTTATTATTTTTAATCAAATAAATGTTGATATTTTGATTGCTTTAATATTTATTGTATACTAGTTTACTATAACATTGGCCCAAATCATAAATAACACTGTTTACAATGAATTTACTGGTGTGGGACATAGTTACCCTAATTGCAGGTAACATTGGCCCAAATCATAAATAACACTGTTTACAATGAATTTACTGGTGTGGGACATAGTTACCCTAATTGCAGGTAACATTGGCCCAAATTTTTGAAAAAAAATTGTAGGTTATTCAAGTGTTGAAATTTCAAAATGACTTATAATATAAAGAAGTTGATTCATATTTTAAAAGAAAAAAATATAAGGTAACCAACTTTTACAAAAATGTTACCAATATTCACCAAAATATATAAAAAAAAGCGAAATCTGGGCCAATGATACCCCATTCTAATGTACTAATAGTTAAACATTTAATGAATTAATAGTGAGATAATAGTCTCTTAGCCACGATGTAGTGGCACATAAATTAATACATTTTTTTTATAAATAAATAAGTAACATTGAATTTATTTTTCTTATAGATGTACGGTAATATAATATTTTATGGAGGTCGTCGTGGGCGTGGCAGGCTTGATGGTGCCGCCAGTGGCACACCACCACCCAAAAAGTTTACTGGCAGTAAGTATAACAAATATAAGTCAAATAAAAATAATGTTAATTAATGATAACATATAATTTTTTTCAGAATGTGACCTGTGCGTGGTTAAAAGGCACAAAGTTCTACAGTGCCCGAAATTTATTAAGTTTCAACACCACTTAGCATATTAAAATAACTAAAATTGAAAATTTATTTATTTTATAATATTCCAGTATCCATAATGACCAATGCCGACACAATCGGCGGCCCGAGCGACGGCGACGACAACATCAACAGCAATGGTCCATGCGACAGCAGCCTCCCGGGTATTAGCTCTCAATAAACATAAAAATGAAAATGTTCTGTTGTTTCTATTTATTTTCATACAAATCTTTTTCCTTATTAAAGCTTACCAAAAACAAACAAGGAGTAAAAATAGAGAATGTATAAATAGAGAATAAATAATTAGTTATAAAGAGTATATTATGTACCCATATTCGTAGGTATACTAGTCACTAACACTGTATTACAAAATCAATTAGAGATATCTTTTATATTAATCCTCCAGCGGGTGCGCTGTTGGATATTATACAACCGTTCTATATTTATTTGTGTATTTAATTTATATCCTTTTTTATCTTATCGGCGGTCATGGGTATTCCTCTGTAATGTTATTATCTACGTTCTAGACTATTTTTGAAGTGTTTCAGTTCGGCTTAGTTGCAGACAATCAACGAAGTACTTATAGTATTGTCCCAAAATACAACACGCGCCACTCCGTGTACCGGTGTACCTACGCTAAATACAAAATGTTTCGTTTGGTGTACCTGCCTTATTATTTTGTAATTTTTATTTTTGCATCATCTTTTTTGAAAATTAAATATGCTGTTCCAAGTACATCAGATGTATCCAAACCCACCTTCAAAACGAGGAACTGGAGTGCACCATGTGTATTAGATTTGTATGTAAGATACATTCAAAAAAAAATTATTATTTGTGAAAAGTGTTCCAATTTCGATGACGATGCAGTGTTGCCGCATGGCAAACTTGAAATTCTCCTGAGAATATCAAAAAAGTTTCGAAAATTCTCCAAGTATGGACAGTAATAAAAAAAATAATAATTACTATGGAATTTTTTTATATAAAATGTTATTAAGATTATTGATGATGAAGTTATACATATAACATTAAACATTATCATTATTTCATATTTGGAATTGTTTAGTTTTGTGAATATCATTAATGAAGAAATGTTGATAATATGTTAAATGTTTATAATGTTTATGTTTATTAACTATTAAGTCAATGTCCTAGAAAATCTCTACTAAGATCGATTTTAAGGTTGGTAAGTATTTTTTTTAAAAAAAAAGGATTAATTTATCATTTGAAGATGAGGAAAAATAAATAAAACAAATATTTTACTTAAATGTGTATGGTGTAATAACAGCAAAACTATAAAATCATAAAAAACAAATTCTTAAATAAATAGTACAAACTTAGTACACAATTGTTTCAATATAAACATAAATTAATAATAATTAACCAAACTGAAATAAAATATAATGACTAAACTGAATAGTTAACAGCAAATATAAAATCATAAAAAACAAATTATTAAATTAATATCACAAACTTAGTGAACACATTGTTTCAATATAAACATAAATTAATAATAATCAACCAAACTGAAATAAAATATAATGACTAAACTGAATAGTTAACAGCAATTAATATAAAATCATAAAAAACAAATTATTAAATAAATAGTACAAACTTAGTACACGATTGTTTCAATATTAACATAAATTAATAATAATTAACCAAACTGAAATAAAATATAATGACTAAACTGAATAGTTAACAGCAAATATAAAATCATAAAAAACAAATTATTAAATTAATATCACAAACTTAGTGAACATATTGTTTCAATATAAACATCAACTAATAATAATCCTTTTTATCAGTCTCTTAGTTACCTGCCTTATGGTTGTCTAGAGTGGTTTTTGTTACATCATAATTATAACAGGTTTTATTATCACATTCTTTTATTAACTGTTTCGAGAGTAGCAATCCACACAATGTTTCTGTAGACAATCGGTTTCTTAATTTTGTTTTATTTATGTTTACAGCACTAAACACTCTCTCTACACAAGCACTACTATGTGGTAGTGATAGTAATCCAGTAACAAAGTTATTTATTTCAGGATACATGAGTGTATCATCACCTTTGAGAATAGTAAGACCATGTTTCCAAAATGAAAGAACAGACTTGTCTTTGTCAATGTTCACGTTACTGATAAATAAACGCCATTCTCTGTCAAGTTCATTTGGGTCGTTTACTAATTTAGGGAAACATATGGAAACCAATCCTAAAGTTGATGTCTTTTTTACATTGTTTGGGTCTAAAAATGTCATATGTTTTAATGATTTTACTTCATTGGAATTAAATGGAAATCGAACAAATATTTGCCTGGCACATTCTACCAGAAAACTTAAACAATCAGTTTGAAAAGTTTCTTTTTCTTGTAAGGTTAAGACATTATTTTGAAATGCTACAGCTACTGCAGGTCCCAAATATATGTTTTCTGATGGTAGGTAATTTTCAGGATTACGGTACTGCAGTACTGAAATGTCAGTTTTATTTAAAATATTTTGTTTTATGTAGCACTGTAGAATAAATTTATAAGCGGAAGCAATTCAATCATAAAGCAAGTATAACTTGGGAGCTTCTGATTGAAATTCCAGATTTACATTTACTATTGTAGGCAAAATGAAAGTTAAAAACTCTAAATATAATTTGTTTTTTGGGTCATCTAAATAGTTGGAAATGTTTGTTCCGTTTAACACATCTTTAAACTTCTCTATACGAAAAAATGATTGGAGAGCTTTGTATTGTTTCAAAATACGTTCAATGGCAGCTAATACAGAAAGCCATCGGGTGCCTGATAGTTGCAACAATTTATGTGGCTTAATTGACCAGAAAGTTTGAAAAGACTCGTATTCCTTTTGACGTTTAAAGCTCTGTTGAAAATATGTATAAATCGATCGAACCATGTTTTCAACTGTATCTGGCAATTTTTTACAGGCATAATCTGCACATAAGGCCAATGAGTGACAAACACATTTTAATATAAACAAACTTGGAACATCACTTCTTAACTTGGTTTGTAGGGAATTGTTTACACCCATCATTGCATTTGCTCCATCAGAAGCAAATCCAATTAAGTTGTTTTTATATGGGATCTGATGATTATTAAAAAAATTAGTAATAACTTCGTACATATTTTGTGATGTGGCATCTGCTAATGGCAACAAGGTAACAAACGAGTCAGATACTTCAAAATTTATACATGTTCTAACAACAATCGCT